TGTTCCTTTTTATGCGCAATAGGATACTGTAAAGAACTATCCCTTGCATTCACTACGTAATCTCTACGTAATAGTCCAACATGGCCGACAATGAAAATGCATTGCAATTTTTCATAAATATACAGTGCTAACAATTAAATTCAGGTGGATTTATGAAGCAAATCTATATATTAAGTGAGGATGCATCATAAACAATCGAACTATATAATCTTGAGTGTAAAAATAAAGGAATTAACTATTTTGACAGAAGTCACGAAAACAGATTAAAAACACAGGATTCTAACACGGATAACATTCAGGGAAATGGATATCATTAAAGGAAAAGCTTCCAGAATCAAGAATGATTAAATTGCTGGCACAATACGTAGATTTAAGTTGATGTCCTGTATGTTTCATTGGGACGTCGCAATATTTACTGTGTTGTCGCCAGTAAAATCTTCTCAAAACGAAAGTGAAAGTAGAAATAAACAATAGAATCTACTGAATTCCAGTGAAATCGCTAAAAAAGGTAAAATTTCTAGGGCATTACAATATATGAGTATATATAATATTAAGAACATAATTTTATTTTAGGTCTGAAACTGTAATTGAGAGGAAAAAAATGAGGAAAATAAGGAAACTGCATGGTTGCGATGTTAAGTTATTTGATTTACAAAGACAGCACAACAGAAAATATTTTTCATATCACTTAAAATTGAAATTTATTGACATGCGCTTAATATTTATTAATATGCTTTATCACACACCGGTGGCCGTGCCGATTTTGCCACTCAGTAAATATGGTATTTTATCACACACCCATGCCGATTTTGCGACTCCGTAAAAATGGTATTGCACGGCCATGCAAATATTTTGACGTGACGTCGTTAGCGTTATACTTTACCTTTACCTTCTCCTTCTTCTGAGCATTTAAGCCAAGATGGCTTGTAAGCTCCTCCTATACAGTATTATCAAGTTAACTTCAGTAAATGTCACTTGTATTAAATCTTTGACTTTGCCAGCTCCGGTCGAGTAAAGTTTTAAATGTCAAAACACTTTCACTGAGAACAATGTTTTCATCTAGGTTAATCCACTGGTCAATGCATCTAATAGGAAATGAATTTTTCCTTAGTGTTTTATTCACACTTGGTTTAAATAGTTTGAATATATGTCCACGTGTACAGTTATCATTGAACACAAAAAATTTATCCGTGTCAACATTATCAAACCCATTAATTATTTTATAAATTTGAATGAGGTCAAATCGTTGTCTACGATATAAAAGTGTTGGCAAATTAAGCCTAACAAGTCTTTGTTCATAGGACAAACCTTTCAATGATGGAATAATTCTAGTTGCCCTTCTTTGAATATTTTCAATCAATTGAATGTTTTTCTTTGTAGATGGAAAATAAACAGAAGATCCATAGTCAACAATTGATCTTATCAGACTTTTGTAGACAGTCAAGAACATAGGTATTGTCATGCAGGAAAAACTTCAATGAAGACGCGCTAAATGTTAGCGTTATACTATAGGCGCGTCAATGAAAAATGACTCTTATTTCACTTAAAACGGTCTTTATTTTGGGTATGTGATAAATAGAATATTAAATTCGTGTAAGTTTATTACTGAATTTATTGCACTCGTTGAATAAAATAATATTATGCTCGCCAGAGGCTCGCATAATATAATTTTATTCAACTCGTGCAATAAATTCAGTATTGAACTTACACTCATTCAATATCCTCTTTACACATCTGTGCATATAATTTGACGTGACGTCATTAGCGTTATACAAACATTGTGTAAAGACGCGCTAAATGTTAGCGTTATACTATAGGCGCGTAAATGAAAAACTACTCTTAGTTCTCTTTAAACAGTCTTTATTTTGTGTATGTGATACAGTAGGGTGAATGTTCCAGTTTACATGCAAAACGCACATTCCGGAAAAAACACACGCACATTACATGCTATACGAACGCATGTACCACGCATGCTTTATGAAACGAAATACGCAGACGCACGCAAAATGAAATACGCTAAACAATATACGCACGCTAAAACGCACGCAAAATAGAAAACGTTTCTAAACGTTAATAAAAATTATCCTTATCATATAAATTTTTAACAACTTTAGCTAGATCGTTTAGTGATTTGATTAAATAATAGCTAGCCATTCATGTATTTTAAACGGGTTTATGTTAACTAACTTATCTTATGTCCCAGGTTAGAGCTGTAATGATATCAATCCGCGAATGCACTCAAGCTGGCACAATATTTTTTTTTGTCGGGCAGCCTAAACAAATGATTATAGAAATTATAAGCCATTAAGCGCTAAAACATGCATTAAAAATGATTTAACAAATTAACAGGGTCGTCTTTATGCACATTTCTGAAAAAAATACTTTGCTTTATACCAGGAATCTCTTAGATAGATAATAATTACTTCGACACTGCTTCTGGCGTAAACAAAATAAAACGAATGGTAGTAACTTTAGCAAATCAGCGATAAAATTATCAAATCATTTACATACAGGTGAACAAAATTAATACATGACCTTTTTAAATAAAGGAAAACATACATTGCAGACCGGCAGCCCAACATTTTTTCCAGACAAGGGCTAAATCTATATGTTTCAGGACTTTGCACCTCCTGGACGTTTCGGCCCTGAAAGTTTCAAGCTCAATTTTTAACCACCTTTTGTTCAATTTGATAAATATATATAATAAATACCATGCATTATGGGTTATAATATATTCTAACATGACCGGCATTTACCCTATTGAACATAGAAGAACAGAAAGTGTGTGTTATTATGCAACAGATGCAATGTTTGACATTCTATATTTAGACATGTGACGTAATCATTATACACGTGAGGTAACCACTAAAAATCTGACACGCTGAAAATAAGTACGGAAACAAATCAGGCGCAAATTTGCTTAACAATCAAGTGCGGCAACATTTATTTGTTGATGTCGTGTTAGAATCGAATTAATATATCCAAATCAGTGATTTTATCGCTTGATAAAATCACTATTTTTTGTTCGAATGTGCATCATTATATCACTCGGGCTACACCCTCGTGATATAATTCCTCACATCCGAACTCCAAACAGTGATGTTATTGAGCGATAAAATCACTGTTTGGGATATATTATTTTTTATTAATATAATTATAATATAAAACATACTTGCAAACATGATTGATATAAAAAAGATTTCCGGTGATATAACGTATAATGAAATTTCCCTGGGAAAATAAATATTAATTAAGTAATAATATATCCCAAACAGTGATTTTATCACTCAAAAACATCACTGTTTGGAGTTCGGATGCGAGGAATTATATCACGAGGGCGTAGCCCGAGTGATATAATGATGCGCATCCGAACGACAAACATTGATGTTATCAAGCGATAAAATCACCGATTTGGATATATAATTTCAATTCTAACACGACATCAACAAATAAATGTTGCCGTACTTGATAGATAAGCAAAATTGAGCCTTATTTGTTTCCGTACTTATTTTCCGGGCGTCGGATTTTTAGTGGTTACATCACGTGTTAAATGATTACGTCACATGTCTAAATATAGAATGTCAAACTGTGCATCTGTTGCATAATAACACACACTTTCTGTTCTTCTTTGTTCAATAGGGAAAAATGTGGGTTGTGTTAGAATTTGAGTTTTATATGAGTTCTGAAAAAATTATCAGCTGTAAAACTACATGCATATGTTTATTTATTATTTTTTTTTTCAAAAAATTAAATTCCATAAAAAGATATTGATAAAATATGTTTTAATATAACAGATAAGAACGATTATAGAATTATGAAAAGCCTAATGAAATTTAATGAATTAAAGTGTTATATTAAGAATAAACTTCTATTTTGGGCCCGAAACTGTAAGCGAGAAAAAAATGAGGAAAATGGAGAAACTTGTCAGCCTCATGCACCTCGATCCATAAGTGCCAGGAGGGGAGGAGTGTTGGACTCCAATAATTTGTGAATCATGTGTAAACCGTAAAGTATATGGATTTACCAAAAGAGCAGCGCATCAGAAAATAAAATTATGTTTCATAGCATTGAAATTGAAATTTATTGACATTTTATGCACTATATGTTATGATATGCTATATTATTATTAAGGAACATTAAATGCCTAATACCTTCCTTTTTTGTTACTGTCACAAGTTAAAAAAGAAAGGTGCAGCCTCACCAGGACTTTAACCCGGGACCCTTGGAATACTGTTCTGCCACTCAACCGACTGAACTATATTGTATTAGGCTGCTTACGCATCATCTCCCTATATAGTGAACAGTTCGGAACCATTACATATTCCCCTGCTTTATTGAAATTCGTCCTTGAATGGGTACCGTGAGTGAACAATGTGAAGTAGGACTTTGAGTTTTATACCATCCATCACAGTTCCCTTTGGAATAGGTGATGGTATGAAACTTCAAGGCCAATTTCACATTACAGTAGAATCCCTACTAAAGACCACCTCCGATTTAAGACCACCCCGCTTTTAAGACCAGTTTTTAAAAGAACGGAATTTTCTGTTCTTTATGTCAATGGTTACATGATCAAGAATTAAGACCACCTCACTTATCCACATTTAAGACCACCAAATTCAGTCCCAATTCCTTATTTTGTTCTTTATTTGACCTCACTATTGAGACCACTGATATTCAAATCAACACCTTCCTAGATCTTAAATGTGTTGTTATGTTGTTATTATCTGCTTGATTGCTCTGCATGACACTTGATTACACAAGGTGTCAAAAGCTGTTATTTATGGGATATTTAATGAAAAAAGTTGAGAATGTTAATTTCATAGTGGTTTAATGTTGCTTTATGCAAATTTGTTTTGGGAAGAAATAAAGTCTTATATGATATGTTAATTATGTGCCTCATACAATAATTATTATTGAAATCAGAACAAAGAAAATTTTATATTAAATTTCTTCAGAAATATGTTTTCTTCCCATCAGATGTAACATTATAAAATATATACTTTTGTCACGGGTCGTTTTATTTATTATGTTAATTGTTCATTTTGCCGTGCACTGTTCGTCATTTAGTCGCGGGAAAAGTATTCTTAATGTCCGCGCATGCGTCGATTATCGTTTGTCTCCGTGGCGTCTGTTATCGTCTGCTATTGTATTGTATCGGATGGGTCCGTAATGTACGCTTATTAGCGGAAATTCACGGAAACAGCCGAAACAATTCAACTATGTCTGTATCTCGTGCAATTTTGTGAACTGTTTTTGTATGTCCAATCGTTTTGTACGTTGTATGAAAGAGTTTTGAGAGAAAGTTTTAGATTGGTTTTTAACATTTCCTTTCTTCCAAATTCCCGCGAACTTTCCTTCTTCACTTCACTTCGTCTTTATTCTCTTACGAGTTAAGATATACTATTCTACTTAGTACATAAATTCTTTAAGTTTATTTAATAGAATTTTTGGAAATAACTTATTATTAAGTTATTTATTGAGACGCTGTGGTAAGATTATTTTCATTTGATTCATTTACTTGAAATAATTCTTATTTACATCGTTCAATTGTTGTATTGTTGTATTTTATGTATGTTTTAATTAACTTGTATTATAATCATGTATTTATGTTTTTAGGCTTTATCTTCGTATTATATATTAAATTGACGAACCTACGCCAGGAGTTCATTATTAATTCTACCCTGTGACATTGGTGGCCAGTGTGGTCTACGAGAAGCCACAGTGTCTGGACAGAGGAGGTGACGAGTTTACGTCCATCGGGAGAGCCAATCTACAGGTCACGGATGTGAATCCGACCACGTATTTTGAGAGAGTGAGGAATTTTCCGACAGAGTCGTTAGGAACCCCGAGTTTTGAAGAAACCAGAAAGGATTTGTTTCAGATCATTGGAGGATCCTAATTGTGAAAGTTTGATGCATCAGGAGTTATTTTATGTGAAATCTAGCGCTAGTGTTAATTAAGTTATAAGTGTGCACACTCGCGTCTTCAGTATCGATTTACATCTATACTTTACGGAATTGAGGAATTTCTACGACGTGTAATTATTACGGAAACCGGATGACTAACGCGGGATGAGGAAAGGAGGAACATTGAACATTTTGAATGAATATTTAGCAGGTATCTCTTGCTATATAACGGATTAGGACTTTATTGTGTGTAAATATTGTTTAGGATTTTATTGGATGTGATATATATGTATAGAGGTTTGTGAATTTTGTTTTGTGAGTATGTAAACTGAATTGTCATATATTTTCGTGAGGTATTTTTTTCTCTTTCCGATTTTTTTTCTTTACAGAGTATATAATCGATTAGGGATATATTTTTTGTCATTGAGTTTGATCTAGATAGAGTATATATTTAGTACAACACAGCGTCTTAGGTTATTTTTTGGTATTTACATTATTTTTTCTCAAAGTATAGGGTGTGTTATTTCACGGATTTATATTACAGGGATCGGACACTCCCAGTTAACCCTATATAAATGCTTAAATATCTTGTCGTGCACCCGATAAAGGTACATCGATCGATAATCTACCGGCGCTAAGCGTAAATGCCCGTTCGCAACGGATACCTACTTTACAAAATACCATATAGCTTTTCCATTTATTATCCGATTTTGGAAATTTAAAGTTTATTTTGAAGAAAAATACTTGTTTTATTCATATATCTAACTTATTTTTTAAAGGTATAGTTCATTTGTCCGCAACGGCGATTAAAAAAAATAACTTGACGAAATCCGCGGTAAATTTACATTTTTTATATAAAAAGCAGGTATTTGAAATTAATTATTATGGACACGTAATAAATTCAATTTCAAAATAAAAAAGAAGCCAATGTAAGTTATTCACAGTTGATCAAAGATGCAATATTTAAGATTTATTGGATTATGTAGTCAAATTTATTAACGCACAATTGTTTTACGGGTAATGTATTGCGGGCTTCACAATTCGCTCAAGACGTGAAGAAAATATACATTTTTTTAGTACAAAATATTGCCGAGATTTTAATATTGCCATATTCATACAATATTTAAATTTCATTCATAATTTATATCATTATTATCTGTCGGTGCAGTTAAGTAGACAATCATCGTAACAGTAAAGTAGGCCCTACTCTCGTGTGGCTGTCTCGATTCCGGCCTTTTTAATGTCACTCGCATATTTTGATTATTCTTTTTATTTGAATGCCTGTAGAAAGATATTTCTGATATTTTTTAATTTAACACTAGAAAAACAATAAAAATCTTTACAGTTTGAGTCAGTATTATGCGAAATAAAAGTAACTGTTGATTATTTTTTACACATCGCCACGGATTTATATTGTAATATAAATCTGTGACATCGCTTAAATGTCTTTGAAGTTTAATTACTTTTGAAGGGGGTTAATTACCAGGTAACAAGTGATAATTGAAAAACTTTATTTTCAAACTTTCATTACCAGGTTGCATGTGATAATTGCAACAATCAATCTTCAAAAACAAATAGAATTTGAATGTATATTTTGTATGTGCGCGGTCTTAAACTACAGTCCATTGTATGTGTAATGAGAAAATGATTCTGAAGATGATAGATATAAATACAATGTAAATCTATTTTCTTTATTAACATTTATAAATGAAATTGAAAATATACAAGTCCTTTCGTTGAAATAATGAAAATAAACATATGACAAATAAATCATTTGACGGGAATTGTGAAGGATAACTATGATAAATTCTGTGTCAACATAAAAAATAATATTATAAAACAGCTGTTCTGTATGCCAATGAAAGTTTCTTCCTTGCCAATATAATGAATTCATCTATGTATGAACGCTTTTTTCATTGATCTGAAAATACACTAATTAGTAGAATACTACATTTATACTTATATTCAGGTAATCAAATAAAAGATGTTCAAATTATTTGGAAATAATTCACAGAAAAAAGACAAATTTCAAACATGAATTTCTTTAAAAGTTTTTAAGCAATCAAGAAACTTTTTTTAGCATTGCAACCATTAAACCATGTAGAAATTAATTATCTTAATCTGAATCGCGGTAATAATTTGTGCTTGAAGTTAAAGGGCGTCAAAGTGTAGAGAGTATGCCTAAACAATAGACGAATATTTTTTAAATTAGGTACTATTTTAACTCAGCGTTGCAGCGTTCTATCGGAATATTTTCATATATTAATACTTTAGCGACACAAAATAATACTGTTCAAATACATTGATATGTGTAAAATTTTTCACAAAGCTTCCATAACACCACATACTCTTGTGAAAATCTGTCATATTTCGCACTCCGCGCGTTCCGCCATCTCTCATTCTGTCCACCTTTATCCGATATGCGATTCCGCGCATGCGCGCGACGAGATTTTAAGCTAAACGATAGTGTCCGATCCTTGTAATATAAATCCGTGGTTATTTATTCATCATTTTTTTTTCTAAAACGTTAGGGTGTGTTTAAATTATTGAGTTGTCCCAATCCTTCGGTCTGATTTATTCTTGCCCAACTATCGAGCACACTTTCTTTGCATACTGTATTCACATACTCTTTGCACTTTACTTACCATAGATGTATGATTGAGAAGAGGAGCGTGTAAGGTAAGGGTTATATGTTCTGTGTTGTGTTGTCATTTTGTGTTTCAGCATATGTGTAAATAGTACATTTTGAGCAGACGACGGTTGAGTATATTGTGATCCGTCACCGGCGTGAAATTGATATAACGTATCTGTATACCATTTTGTAAAATTTATACGTGTTATTCACTATTCAGCATAGTGTTGTGTATATATGTAGTAAGTTACATTTACATACCATAACTCAGTCGTGTACTCCTGACATATTTTCGTTGTTAAACTTTTGTGTTTGGTAATAATATCATACACAATATTTAATTGTTTTTCGCGTAATTTCGTTCTTGTTATTTGGTGACCGAACACCAAATAGCTTATTCATTCGCGATTTTACAAGGGGTGTCACAGCTGCTGCAGTTTTTTTTTTGAAGTGGTTTGACTGTAAACGCTGGGAATTATTGTAAGTTTTTGTAAAGTTTAGGCTGAATTACACTGCATTTGAAGATAATTACATTATTGTAATTTTTCTATGGTTTATATAACTTGTTGACATATTCTTCAAGGAGTATATTCCATGGTGGTGGCCAGGTCAATGTGAATATTATCTTATTAAATTTCAGGTGCAGTAATTTTTCATTTTCAGCTATTATTGAAATTTCTTTTACAGGTTATATTTGTGTATATTGTGTTCATACTTCTAGTCATTAAACATTTTTGTTTAAAATGGCTGAGGGTGTTTCTGATAAAGGTGGCATGGGATTAGGTGAAGATGCACCTTAATCTGATGCTCAACTTAAGCAGATTTTAGAGGCTCTAAAGAGTAATGGAGATTATGTTGTGCTAACTAAATCTGAGTATGCAGCTTTGCATAAACCAGTTAGTACAAGCACACCTACTCCTAGACGACCATTGACTGATTTTATTAGAACTTCTCAAGCTCATGATTTTTCTATGCATCCATCACAAATTCAGGTACCGAAGTTCGAGACACCAAAGCTGCCTTATTTTTCAGGTGATCAACCTCCTATAAAGGGTGACGAGTCTTATGCTGTGTGGAGATTTGAAACTAAATGTTTGATTTCAGAAAAATTTACCTGAACAAGTTATTTTACAGGTTATAAGAAGGTCATTGCGAGGTACTGCAAGACGTACACTTATTTCTTTGGGTGAACATGCATCAAGTGGTGTTATATTAGATAAACTTGATATTCTTTTTGGTGAAGTATCTACCAATGAGTCTGTAATGCAGTCTTTTTATATAATGCATCTCAGAAAATTTCAGAGAATGTTACTGCTTATGGGTGTCGTCTCGAAGCTTTACTTCAAGTCGCAGTTGAAAGTGGACATGTTACAGTTGCTGCTAGAAATGATATGTTACGTTCAAAATTTTGGACAGGTTTGCGTGATGAGAAGTTGAAGATTCTTACCAGAAATAAATATGATTCAATTTCAGATTACAACACATTATTAAGAGAGGTGCGTTCTGTTGAACATGAATTGTCAGCTTCTAGCAATATTTCAGCTTCTGTTAATGCAGCCCAGCAGTCCACACCAGTTGATAGGAAAACTATTGATGATCTTACTGGTAAAATAGATTTACTTATGAATAAAATGCTCTCTTTAGAAAAACAGATACAGGAGAAGCCAAAAGAAACTGCAAGTTCCAGTAACAATTATTTTTCTAGAAATAGGTATAATTACCAGAGACGTGATGGAAACTATCAGAGTTATAACCAACAGAGACCTAGATATGATAAGAAAGATAATTCTGATAGTAAGAGTTATGTTGGTAATAGGTCAAATAGTAACAGGTCAAACAGTACATTTAAAGGTAAAAATGACCCAAAAGAGTAGACTCCTCTGTTGTTGGGCGAACTGAGGAAGTCAATGTGGGTAAAAGCCCTAAAGTACAAGTTAGTAACTTGGTAGACAGAATGGTTGACAAAGCCAATCAAGGCAAGGCTGTTATATGTGGTATGGAAACTGATGTACTTGTTGATAGTGGGTCTATGATTACCTTGATTTCAGAATCATTATACAATTCACTTGAACCCAGACCTGATTTGTGTGATATAACTGATTTTAATCTTGATATTGTAGGTGCTAGTGGTAATAAGTTACCATATATTGGA